ACTTCATTAAATTTTTAAAAATAATATACCAATATAAGGTATGAAAAATCTCTTAGTTATTATTATTTTTCCTTCTGTGTTTTAATTATTTTCACAGATCATTATTAAGAACAATCTACAAATTCTAAATATTCTAAATGACACTGAATCTGGCAACTTGATGAAAGAATTGCTTAAAGATAACAATGAACAATGCTCTACTCCACCACCTGTGTCAATTTGTTTTATTGCCAATTGCAAAAACACTCCAAAGAAAAAAGGAAAAAAAGTAGTTCAAAAAAAATTTTCAAAAAAAAAATAAAGTTGAATTATCTATAATTTAACTTCTGACAAATTTGTAATCAATATTAATAAAGTATAAAATTTTAGACATGAATTTGTTTGAATAATATATCACATAAATCAACCATGACCAAATTTGTGTAATGGTTTAAAATATATATATATATCCGCTTTATTGTTACAATAAAATATATAGGTGCACAGCATCAGATACATAATAAAATGGTTTATGTAGTAAATATGCTATTGTAAAGCTACATATTGTCTTTTACTTTGAGTTCATTGCTTGCTTTAATTTGGTCTTCTAATAAGCTAACGATTATCCCAATTCACCTTTTTGAATTGATTCAATATCTTCTTTCAATGACATTTTTGATAAATTTATCTAATATTCATTTTTACTTGTACAATAAAGTCAATTGGTATTAAAAATAATAAAATGCCATTCTGTGGCTAAAAAAAATTGACATATACTTAAAATCAGATATATCAGAAAAGACATTTTAAATAATAGCATTAATGCAGTAAATAAATAGGTATTTTTTGCCCTAGGTGCAAGTCAAGGTTAAAAGTAAAGTTTTGAAGTAACATATACCAAAATCATGCAATGAATTTTTTTTTATAATGCAAAAGACAGTTTCATAGACAAAATTTCAAGTTATACATTTTTGTGAATGTTAGTTTTAAACCAGTTTGAGATACATATGAGATACATGCTGATTAAGGTACATATATACGTACGTATGTACTAGAGTGGTAACTTAACTAAATAAATCAAAACTATGTGAGCAAACTATGGAATTTGATATATTACAGATTTTATGTTACATGAATAAAAATCTCTATATAACATATCTGATATCAATTTAATGTTAATTTTTGCTAATACATTTATTAAAAATTAATCAACTTTAAAATGATTCAGCTCGCTGAAAACTCAAGGAATTACCTATAAATTTTTACTAGAGGTTTATTATATGTAGGAGAATAAAGCTATGTTTTAAATTTTCTATTAATATATAAAATTTAAATATTTGTCTTATAAAACATCAAAATTTCATTAATTAGAGCGAAAAATTTTGTATCTTAAACATACAAGTTGAAGTTTTACTAGAATTTTCGCAAAAATCAAGCATAACCTTTTAAATATAATCTTTGCAAAAAGTTTTCAGTTAAAAAAAATTAGAATGAGAAGCACGATATCAAGGTGAATCATTTAGAATTTTATGTTTTTCTTATTAATTAAATAAAGTAAAATAATATTTAAGCTAAAAAAATCTGATCATTGTAAAAATACTAATATTGCTAACATAGTTTTGATTTATTTAGTTAAGTTACCACCCTAGTACGTACGTACCTTGCTTTAGTTGAATATACTAAATGTTATACTAATCATTGCGAAATCAATAACTTATCGAATTGGCAAACAATAATTCAGTCAATTTTTTATCAACTGTCCCAAAAATAATGAAAACAGCTGTAAATAGATAGTAAAGTTTAAAACATACTTCGGCATAATCAATAGTTGACTCGTTATATCGATACAGTAATAAAATTTAAAACATTGCTGAGCGAAGCGAGGCAAAATATAATAAATATAAAACTGGGCTTGAATTGAGGCTGAAAGTTATTGCATTGGTTATTTTCAAAACTAGCTTTATATATTTGTGTTCTATCACATTAGAGAGAGAATTTTTAATAAAGTATAAATGTTAATCAAATAAAACATTGCTTTACTGATTCACTTGATCTTCCAATTATTAGTTAGCTAAAACTGAATGGCCAAGCCTCCCGTATATATGAGTTTTAGTATCTAGGTTTAAGTTGCCTTTACATTATTGTGAATCTTGGAGTTTAAAACCTTGCCGAGCGAAGCGAGGCCAAGACATAAAAAACGTAACCTCAAGCAAAGCCAAGAACTATGAAAAAAAAAAACAAATAGAATATCACCTTAATTTATATTTTTTGATTTCAATCGATCATGTATCATCAAATTATCAGTGCCTGTTAATACCATATACTGTTATATCTAATTATTAGTTGGCGGCGAAGCCGCCACATGATCATATACTAATTCTATTTCATTTAAAATAAGTAAACTTAAAACCTCATAATTATAATTAAGTAAAAACATTATATTACAGTAATTATAAAATGCACCATAGGTATTGTTGGTGTTAATATGTTTTTGGCAAAATTTAGGGTTAGGGTGCAACTTCAGGGTAAGATAGGGTTAGATATAAAGGTCCAAATTTTAGTTAGCATAAGGTTTTTGGAGGTTCTGAACATTTTTACTTAATACATACCCCAGAGATGTGTTAGATAGCAGCTATGGTGTTCAACACCTATGGTGCATTTTAGTAAACCCATTGTATTATACTAATTTATAATGTGTATTATTAGAATTTGCCACATGTGCAAGTTCTAGTTGTATTATTAATTTTGAGCTACCTGCCATTATGCTCGTAAAATCATATACCGATACAGTATTTTTGATTTTCCAAATTCGCATTTACCCGATATCTACAATCTATTTACAGTATTAGGGGTAGCCACGCGACGCAGTTGTACTAGAACCAGGAACGTGAAATTTAAGCGTAGCAATGATATATGACGAAAAAAGGTTTTTGTTGAAGCAAAAATAAGGCCATTCGAAGTTGATTCTTCAGTTAACATCACTTTTTAGGAATCCCGTGAGGGGGGGAGGGGTAAAATGAAACGAACATATAAAAATGAACAGATATATGCCAATTTCATGGTCTATATAAATCAGGTGATTGGCGAGAGTTATCCAGCGTTTTGATTGGTTGTTCATTTTTCGGAGGAGACTTCAAATGAGAGGGGGATGATGTTAACCGAAGAATCAACTGCAAGCGGCCTAACTCAAGTTAGCCATGCATAAATCTATCAATTAGGGAGTCTCATATCTGTGCTTTTGATACCATACGGCATAAGAAACTAGCTCCTATATGACGCAAGAATCTAACTCCCATATGACACAAGAATCCAACTCCATACAACACAAGAAACCAACCCCCACATAGTACAAGAATTCACGTCTGGTGAAGTCTAAAAACCTAAAAAAAATTGAAAGCTAGTAACAAAACTAGCAAGACCAAAAAAAAAAAAAAAGTAAAGAAAATTAATACCTTACCTAAAAACGCTGCACGCATGTTTTCCGGTGTTGATTCACATTCAGTAAAGCTTAAAACCCCCAAAGAAAAAAAAAGAAGTTAGTAACAAGGCTAAAAAAAAAAAAATAAAAAATAAAAATCCATTACTCGAAAATGCGCATACTGTAACCGTTGATGGGAGAGCTTAATAAGATTATGTGGATAAAGGGCCAATTAACTCCAACGGTGTACGGGCCTCTGATGTCATAAAGTAAGTTATAGAATGTGTTCTCTTTTATTAATCTAAATGTATAAAAGTGAAGCATTTATTTTAATAAACGAAAGAACCTCTTTCTCATAATAATGTAACATAAGTCGCCTAATAGAATTACCATGCCCTATAGAAGCCTTTTATTATTCAATCCACATAATTTCTAGGAAAATTGTAGTATTATTGATGTTTTATTTATTTTGGAGTTATAATAGAATTTTTAATATTGACTTATTTCGAAAAAAAAAACAGTTTATAAATGTTATTTACTTTTTGAAATTCTAAAATTAGAAAAGCAAATTTAATACACGTACATGGAAATGGAATTTGTAAAAAAAATTTTTTTTAAAAAGTTTTAAAGATCAAATTCAAAATAAATACATTATGAGGGACCAACTTGTAATAACCTATTGCAATTATGGTAAGTTTATGGCATTGCATCTATATCTCTATGTTTGACTCAATTTCAAAGCTCACTTTTTAAAATCTTTCAATATACCTCTCCGTTCCTGGTTTCTTGCAACCGCACATATTATACTGTCATGATTTCTCTAAGTTTTTATAAGCATACAAAATTTTTAATGCAAATTTTTCATTTCAAAGTTAGTGTTTAGGGTTAATGTTAAGATTCGGGAAGATTTTGCAGGGTTTAGAGCATTTTTACTTAAAACTCACCATGCTGTTTCATTAGGCAGTTTTTGAAACAATGTATACATAGACGTAAACATCATAGGTGCATTTTATTAAAATGTATATGAAAATTATGCTTTATTATTTATTCAATCAAATTAATTGTATTAAAAGATGATTATCAATTCTATATGTTTTCTGAATAAAATAAAGGTAGTAGATGCCTGCAAGTTAAAAAATAAACTAAGTTATTACGACATTTTGTCTCAGCAAAACCATTCAGAACGAATACATGAGAAATACATATACATATATCAATATAGCTCACATTTCAATAGTTAAAATTATTTAATGTAATAGTCTCATTTTAGGATCTTGAAAGTATTGAATTTAGTCCATATTCAACCCCACCCCTAAAAATCAGAAATTAGTGAGACAGTACTTGTAAATTATTATTCACATCAATTTTATTATTTGTAACATAAAACTTTATCATTGAATTTAATTAGGTGTTTGCTGATAATTTAAGTTTGCAGTATATTACAAGTTACAAATAATAAAATTGAAAGTATAGATAGCAACTGTCTTTCTATAATTGCTTGAATAATATATATTATAAAATACCTTTCGATTGCGGCAATCTTTAAAGACCATCCCATATTAATATAACAATAGTAAAAATGATGTTAGTTAATAGAATTAAATTAATGTAAGTAAAAACAAAGTTTTATTACGTAAATAGTTTTTACCGGATCATCCAGGAAGATTATATTCTTGATTTGATTATGATAATGTTGATAAATTCTCATTTGAAGATATTTGGATTCACTAAATCCTCCAACCAAAAACATTGCCGTGTAAGTAATTCCCAGATTGAGTTGTAAACCAATCAATTTAATAATCTTGTCTATTACAAGATCAAACATTGATTTAACATCATCGAATCCTATATCGATTATCCAGTTAACTCTTTCTAATTTTGATTTTGAAGTTCCTGTCACATATTGTTTCAACATTGGGCATACTTCTTTAATGTCAAATTTAATGACTTTGAAATCTTTTTTAATGCCAGTAAAAGGTAACTTGATCTGGCGCTGAAATTCACTCAACATATATTGAAATTGATCATTGTATTCTTTAGCCAATGAACTTACAGCATATTCTCCGACTTTTTTCTCTAAAAATTTTAAAAATTCTTTGTCAACGCATGCACCACCCGCGGATTCAGTAGCTTTATATAATAAATTTTCGCTTAATTCATTATTTTTCAACTTGAAAGTTGTAAAATCCACTTTATAACTGCCACAATCCAATATAATAATTGAACCTTGTTCTATTATGAATAAAAATTATATATTTTTATATTGCATTTTAGAATTTGTTGTAAAAAAAAATATACAAATAATAAAATAATACTTTTTCATTGATCATTGAACGTACGTTTTTGTAGCATTTTTTTACAATACATGGCAGCTGCCATGGCTAAGATAAAGAAGGTTGAAAATTTTTTTAAAAAAATATATAATCATTTTGTAATATTTAAATAAAGAGAAACAATAACTTACATTCTTCAATGAATTTCACCTTATCTGAATTTTTTGATATTAAACCTATATATTTGTTTTTTGACAATTATTTTTTACGGCTCCAAAAAAAATAATAACAAAGAATAAAATTTCAATACCAGCTCTCCAACTTTGTTCTTTCATTATATTCTTTGAGAACTCGGTATATTCTGCTGGAACAGTTATGACTAGCAAAACTTGATCAGGGAAATTAATATTTGGCCAACGTTTTAATAAGACCTCTTTGATGAGCTGTTAATTAAAAGATAAAAAAATTAGTAGCAAGATAAATATAAGTGAAATATAATAGTGTAAAAATTTTGGTAACTTACTTTCCCTATTTAGAATTAAACCAAATAGATATATTATAATTTAATTTATTTTATTTTATTACACTATTATAATTGCATATATACATACTCATTTCTGTTAAATAGTCTGTTATAGTCTTTTTATAATATAATCCTTCAGGTAAATCTGGCTTATCAAATTTTTTACTTAAATGAAGTTTGAGAAATTGGATAGGTGAAAAGCCACCTTTATATATTCTTCGCATATTTGGCTTTTGCACTAAAGCTGGTAATCCCCATGCCTCAACAGATTTAAAGTTTTGGTCATATCTCAATACCGTATCAGTTTTTAATGGCCCTGTAAATTCTTGCCAATAGTCATTTGCTATAATCTCTGAAGGATTGGATACATGCGCATATGCAAATCCCTATTAAGAAGAGAAAATTGTGTAATAATTTATTTTTGTAATAATTTATTATGATGAGAATAAATTATAGGAATGAAAAAAAAAATTATATTAATTAAATATACCGAATGAGTCGTTCCGAAATCTATTTAAATATTAGATGTTCATATACAAAATGGATTAAAAAGTTTTTCAGATCTTGGACGATAATTAAAACTGTTCTTACCAATTGCTAATGTTGAAATAATAAATCAACAAGTTATATTTAATTAAATTTTACCGTTTATATTGAACATTAAAGGTCACATACCAACCACAACTTTAATTTCTGTAAGCCCTAGGTTATAATTGGACCCTATAGGCCTTTTAACATCGTTTGGTGACATTGTATTATGTGAATTTTTTGAATTTGATTTCATTTCTGAGTAATGTCGATTTGTAGTTGATTGCATTTCTGAGTGTGATTGCATTTCTGAGTAATGTTGCCGATTTGTAGTTGATACTGGCTTATCATAGGAACTTATGGATCCCAAATCATCAAGTGGTGGATTTTGTGAACTTTGTGAATTTGAATGCATTTCTGTATAATATTGATTGTTTGTTGCTAAATTTTCGATAGCTACTACATCGTTCATCGAATTATTGTTTTGAATTTTTTTTAAAGTTTCAAAAATTAATTTTATTTCTGGGCGATCACTAGGATTAGAATCCCAGCATTGTTCATAAAGTTCAACATATTTTATTGGTGTACCCTTTATGGGCATTTCCCTAATTCCTTGATTGACGTTAACAGGAATTGAATATTCTCCTCCAAGGAATGGTGGTTTACCACTTGAAATTTCCCAGAGGATTACTCCGAAGCTGTAAATATCCGATCTTTTATCTCGTTTGTACTTTGGATCTATAAAACATTGAGGTTCCATATATGCTAGCATTCCGTTAAGTGCTGAGGCTGAAGTTGTTGATGTTTCATCAATCTGTTTTGCTAATCCAAAATCTGCAATCATAATTTGTCCATGATGAATTAAAATATTTTTTGAATGCTATGTAATAATATTGAATGAAACAATATAGAATGAGATGAGATTATTTGAACACGGAACTAGCATAGCAAATATTTATAGATAATATGTATAGCGAAATTAGAATTATGTGAATGATTTAAAGAAATTCTATGAGTCTAATCTTAACTAACATACATGAAATAGTACTTACAAGGTCGCGATGAACAATGTTATTACAATGTAAGAACATGAGACCAAACGTTATATCTTGTGCAATTTTTAATTTATTTGTCCATTGCAGTGTTTTAAAATTGGATCCTAAAAATTGCCGCAAATTTCCATCAGCGGCATATTGCAGAACCATGTTATAATATCCTTTGTTATCTTTTATAATGAAGATTATAAATAAACCAAATTTATTATAAAAACAAGACAATAATTTGCAAGTTAAAAAAATTTATACCTTTTGTAACACCATAGAATTTAATAATATTTGGATGTGAGCAGACACTTCGCAATAGCTTAAGCTTTTATTAAATAAAATACGAGGATTTAATAATTATGATAATATATATTCACCATAAATGTATTTTACAAAATAAATAATACCTCCTTAATAAATTCTTTAACAAAATCTTTATGGACTTCTCCATCTACTCTAAGACGTTTAAGAGCGATTATCAATTCACATTCTTTCCACTTATATTCATAAACCGTTCCAAAGCCTCCATCTCCTATTTTTGAACGATGTTCAAGCTTATGAAAATCAATTATATTAAGATGTCCTTCAGAAATGGCTTTTTCAAGCCATTCTTGTGAAATGCTTGTCATATTTTGGTCGCAGAATCAAATTTGCTAAATTATTGCACTAACTAAAAAGAACAAAAAACCAGATTCTCTTTTTTTGCAAAGAACGCTCGATTTGTACTGCAATACTGACACTCCTAAACTTGCCGTTTGTACGAACATCAAATATACCCACCCGAACTTATTACTCGAAGTATGCAAACAATTTATTCAATTTATCCAATTTATTTTAGGGCTTATCACAACTTTCGGGCACATGGTGTAGCAATCACAAGCAGGAAGAAATTTTGCATATTACTTGTTATTTTCAATAAATTATGAGTTACAGTTAGGAAGTAAATTAATTTATGACGATAGTTACTATGAATATATTTTGTAATTTGATTGATTGAACATTCGAAATGTTTTTTTACGCACATTTAATTATCGAATGTTCGATTTATGAAGAAAACAAATGAGATTAAAAACAAAAGTATTACTGCATATAAGTTAGTGACTTAGTGTTACCAATATTAGTGTTAGAGTTTGATTTTATTTTAGGTTGCACCTGATCTTGAAATTTGATTTGATTAGATAGTAGGACTGTCTACATTTTGGGAATTATATATGAGGTGTCACCTTTATCACACCGGTGCACTCGGAATTAATTTATACACATAACCTCGCCTAAATTAAAAACAAATCTTCAACCAACTTTTAATATACTAAAATATATATTGGTTTAATTGAATTTTTATGCGTAGATTTCATTTGTTCGGAGATCACAGACCGCTGTACGTACGTACGTACGTATATAATAATGAAATGATAGAAGTGATGTAGAATGTTTAATGTATATACATATATAGTAGCAAAGCGATTAAAATAGAATCTATATAAAGTAGTATAATCGGTTAATAGTTGATCAGACTCTTTAACATTTAATATACCCTGGGTTATTATATGTATATTACATTATATTTACGTCTTTCTAAATCCTATATATAATAATTTATTTTATATTTCCGATCATACTGCTATATGTAATACCGTTTCATTTGTTACATTATGCATAAGTATAAACATCAATATTAGATTTGTATAAAATTTAATAATTCGATATTACGAAATTAGTACGATTCTTATAACCTTTTCACATTTGAAAAGAAATAAAAAATTCAATAAATGATTGCTTAATCGTTTATTACTGTAATTTACTAAGTTGTGGACCCCTCAACGATTTGTACTCGGGGATGCACGAATATACTTTATGAGCAAAAAATATATTGTATACATCGCTGGCGAAAATGTCTAAAGCACAATCAGAATTCGGTTCATATATTCAAAAATATAGTTCATATGCCAAAAGTGATAACAATAACTACGAAAGTGGAAAACAACGATCACCTAGGAGTAGATGCACAACTCCTGAACCAATTTTTGATAATAAAAGACAAATAGAACGTAAACAATCTAATCATCAATTATGCTCCTCAAAGTATTTACACCCTGATCAACCATCACCACATTCATCCAGAAATATACGTACGAGTCCCGAACCAAGTAGCAAAAATGAGGTTCGTTGTTGTAAATGTGGTCAGACTGGACATTTTACAAGTGAATGTCCGCAACACAATGATCAATCACAACCTAATAGTCAATTTCCACAATTTCAACATCAATCCCAACAACCACCCTTTGATCAACGACAGGTGCTAAACTTTTCAAAAAGTATGAACAAAAATTATCCAGATAGTTATCATGATCATTCTTATTCATCCTGGAATAAGAGTAAGACTTTGGATTCGAACATTAATAATGATATTTTAAATAATAAATTCATTAATAGATCACCTCAGGAATATCAACAATCATATTCCGTATGCTCACAGTATGATAAACTGGAGCAAAACTATTCAAGAAGCACACCAAGAAATCATCAGAATCAATCTCATTCACTTAAAAATAAGCGTGCAAAATCAGAACAAAATATTAATCAATCATATCAGAAATCTCAACTTAATCATCAACTTCAGCAATCCCAACAACCATTTTTTATTAAATCAAAAAATAAGCATACAACACCTGAACCAAGTACTAAAAATAATAATCAAAATCATAAACGTGAACAGAATGAACACTTTAAAAAAGATAATCAACAATTTAGGGATCAATCCCATCAGAAACCTAAACAATCTCAACAATCTCAACAAAATGGACCTAGTCCAACCGTTATTGTTAATTTTGTACCATCTCAGAAAGCACCTAAGCAGGAGCCAGCTCTGTGTGTTCGTTTAGTAAAAAAGAAAAGTGATTTAACCAATGGAAGGGGATTTTCATGAGTCGAAAATTATAGTTATTAAAGCATTTTACGGAGCAAATCCACAAACTTAAATTTATCAAACTGGTGTAAATAATATAGGATGTCATTATATAATCTACAATCATTTCTATTTATATTATTTATATCATTTTTTATTCAGTGATAGCTTTGCACTATTCTAGTTTAATCGCCATTTTCTTGTTATTACAGTATTATTTCGGAATTGAAGTTAATTAAATAGCCATACTTTATCAAAATAAAAGCAAAGAATTTTAAAGCTTAATTTTACGAAAGTAATGCAAAGAGATTAATTGAAATATATATATGTATATTTATATTAATTACCATTAACGTTAATAAATTTCCATTATTATTTCCATTTAGGGTGAATGTTATATCGCTTAAGTAAAATCATTTTATTCATATTAATGTAGTCCGCAAGTATAAAGAATATTTATTAATCGTCAAAATATATTATTTATTCACATTTATTTTAGTCCGTGAGTGTATAAAAAAAAAATTAAATGACCTAAGTGTATATTTATTGTTTATACGAACTTTATTAGTTTCTCAATATATGAAATACAATATTTATATTTCATTTCTTGTTAGAATACTACAAATATCTTTGTTATTTGAGAATTAACTAGAATAATTATGTTCAACCCGATATTTTGCATTGTGCCTATACTATATAAAGTTCTTTAACTAAAATAAATAACTGAATAAAAATTAAAAAAAAAGAGGCAATAATTTAATACATTAATGATAATTAAAATAGGTATAATAAACCGTTATTGTTCTTTTCATTTATTTAACCCAATTTAATAAACGAAAAAATATATTAGTTTTAGGATAAACAACAACAGTCTGTTTGCCTTGCTTTTGTCTGTGTCGATTTTTAAGCCGTGGACAATTTTTTTTGTAATGTCCAACTTTTTTACATTCATAACAACGATTATCATTTCTGTATGGGGGAGGTCTTTGATTCATTGGTAATGGACCTGGTAAGTTTATTTGTGTATAAATGATAGTTGTTTGTGAGTAAGCCTGGTATCTTCCATTATTAGGGTATGACATTTCGCCGGCGAGATGTTTTTATATATATTTAAATATATATCTACGCTTATGCGAAAAAATTAATTCAACGTTTTTACTAGAGTTTGGCAAGTAATACGCTATTATTAGCGTAATTGTTGAATTATTGTTGAAGTATGTTGACAACAAATTTCATCGATTTACGACTCTTTTATTTTGTTTTCTAATAATAAAAAAAAAAACTTTAAAATGTATAATATCAGGGGCATAATGTATTGATATGTGCAAAATAATGAATGATACATAAATATTTTCACAAATTTCATTTCACTCTTTTATTGGATTAATAGTGCAACTAATAAATTTAGGAAGGCAAAGAAAGTCATCTCAATGTATTAGATTTAGTTCAAATATTTATGTGGGATAAAAATTTCGAAATTCTTTTTGATGTAGTGTTACTATTGCATGAAACTATCGTATGAGACTATCATATGATACTATTATATGAGACTATAGAATGAGACGACTGTATGAGACGATTGTGTGAAACGATTGTATGAGACGACTGTATGAGACGATTGTGTGAAACAATTGTATGAGATGATTATATGAAACGATTGTACGATAATATCTAATTTAACTTTATTTATCAAAAGTATTTCTATGCCGAAGGGGTTATTTTAGTGAAGTTGCTTTGATTTAATTAGAGGTTATTTAGGATTATGTTATAACAATTGCGATTAGCTTTTTTTTATTGACAATTATTCAGTAGCATGTTTACGTGACTCACCTAGTATCGTCACCAAAATCATGTACGTAATACGAAGCTTAAGTTTATTTATCGATATTTTAATATATAATATGAAATATGATGACTACAACGATAATGTTAATATTTGATTAGTAATGCGTACAATAATAAAAATAATATCTAAAATTTTTTTCTTTGATTTTACCGTAATTTGCTAAAATGGAAAATAAGCATATTACGCATCGTTGTTCGTTCTGTCGAATTATGAAACCCATTTTGCATTTCAAAATAATTAAAAAACATGGCTTGAGTGTTTACCCTCATGAATGAAAGCAGAAAAAGGAAGTGTGAAGACCAAACTTTAAACAACATTTGCAAGAAAAAAGAAAACGTTATAGAATCTGAAGAGCTTGAACATATGGTGTATGAAAAACTTACAGATATTGATGGAGAAAGCATTGTGCATATGGATTTTGGGATGTTTCTCAGATGAGTAACGAATTAAAAAAAAAATGTTATCAAGGAATTTTTTGGCAAGTACAATAACACTTAAGATCATAAAGTTCTATGAAAAGAGACGGTTATTTATATGTTAACCATAAAAAGCATCGTATTAAACAAGTCAAATCCATTTCATTTATCTATTGGTGCAAGAGCTTGAGAAGAGAATTAAAAAAAATGATGAAAGTTAACAACGATAGAGAGCCACGAATTGAACATTATAAGAATCTTTGGGTGTTATTTGTATCTCCGGAAATTTCTGTAATCCTCACTGGCGTATATTATATTTTACTAATATTATGTTTTAGGCATTCAATTGTTCTTGAATCATCTTTCAAAACAAAATAAATGGCTTTGAAGTATTGAATCGAGCGAGCAAAAAAGCTTTCGAAAACTTGGAATGGACGTAATAAG